TTAACCTTCAACTGAAAATGGGGAAGTATTTGTGAAATTAATTTCAAAAATTCATTTAGCAAAAAAATGACTAGCTGGTTATATTTTAAAATATTATTTTAAAAATAAATAACATGGTGGTATGTGTCTGTAGTCCCAGCTACTTGGGAGGCTGGGGTGGGAGGATTGCTTGAGCCCAGGAGTTTCAGGCTGCGGTGAGCTACGATTATACTACTGCACTCCAGCCTGGGTGACAGAGTGAGAGTCTGTCTCTAAAATAAATAAATAAGTAAGAATGTAAACTTTCATATTTGGGGGCTTAGTTTTTAGGAAAAAGAGGCACATTACAATAAAAGAAACTGCTGTGATTTATTCACCATCTCAATATCTAAGGTATGGCCTGAGGTCTTAGTGATGGACTTCACAATTTCTTAAAAAATTAATCAATTAATACAATAAAACAAAGCACCTTTTTTCTTAAACATGTAAGGCAAACTTAGATCCAGATTGGGTGCTCTAGAGGGCTGTTTCCTGCACGGTTTATCTCCTCCATCATAGTCCACAGGACTCTAAGAAGTTGTAGGAATATGCAGGTGCAGACTTGAGGCCCAGCTTCATCTCCAATGTCATGGAAAGGGACTGTACATCATGGGGGCAGAGCCCTGTGCTCCCTTATGCCACTTGGACACAGCCTAGGGAAAGTGACCTCCCGGGTATAGCCACATTGGAGACCCCACTATTTTACCATGACCTGACTTTCATACTGATGACACCAAGACATTACACACCAAGGCCAAATAATCTAATTAGTAATAAGAGCAGGGTGTTTAGAGTGATTTCAAAATAAGTATTGAGAGAAAGAAGGATCACCAGTTAACATGTGGTCAGCATCCTAATGCAGCTTGATATGACTGTCCATCATGTAGCTGAGAGATGTGAGAGCCAATGAAACAGCAACATTGCCTTCTCCTCTTGTCCAGGGTGCTGTGAATTTAAGCAGCTGTAATAGACTGGTGGCGGTGATGGCCTCCACCTGTGAAGATCAGTGTGCTTCTAAAAGCTATGTCTGAAACTCAAGGGATTCTGGGACTCCCTGAGGCATCTATGCAAAATCTAGGCTAGAATATACATCCTGCCCAGACATACTGATGCCAGCCTTCAGATAGATTTTACTACAATTAATACATGGAGACTCATATTCAGTAGGTTCTGATGAGATGCTTAAATTAAAAAAAAAATCTGTAAAGTTTACCTTGATTTAGAAAGGGTACTTGATCTGATACATAAAGGGAAAATGAAGTAATGGGTAACTGGTCCTGATTGTTTTCTTTATCTTTCTAATCCTTAACCAGGGAATATTCTTTTTCCACCAAATGTGTATTGGGTAGTCCTTACCTATGCTTTATTCTCAGAGACATAAAAGCAGAATATTGCCATTTCATGGATTATAGGAGTAGCCACATAATTGGTGTCCTGGTTCCCCTCACCAATTCATTTTCCCCATCACAGTCAAAGAGATTCTGCTAAAACAAAAACTGGAGCATGCCCTCTCAATGGCTTCTCTTGTCTTCTGGATAAAGCTCCAAGCCCTTGATAGCTCTTGCAATGGTCTTGCATGATCAGGCCCCTTTATGCTCTCCCTTGGTCTCAGCTCTTTTTATCATAATAGACTTCATTCTGATCCTTCACTAGTCCCTTTGCCTCAGTCCAGCTACATCTGCTATTTCCTCTGACTCAAACACCCTCCTATAACTTCTAGTTCTCATTCCTACTTACACATCCGTTATATTGCCTTAAGCCTCACATCCTCTGCAAATGATGTGCAGTGAAGCTAAGACTCTGTTTTATATTATTAATAGGCCAACTCTTGGACCAGCAGTTATAAATCAAAGACCACTGATAGTGTAAGTACTTTGAAAAGAGATTTAGGATTATATATGTAGACAATTTGAAGCAATTATCAAACATAGGTTGGCTTTATAATATTTTCTGACAGAATCATCTCTTTGGTACTGGATACTCTATGTGCCAAAAATATCCATCACGTCCAAAGCTGCCACTGTGTGCTTTGGAGATTTCAAGAATAATTTCAAAATCCTTTCAGTCATGTAAATTTTTATTCCGAGTACTTTTTATTTAGTTTTAAAACCTAATGATCTATATGTTATTAAACAGTTTGTTCTACCTTCTCTATTCTTTAATATTAAATCAAATTAAAGAAATAAGACACATCAATGAGAAATCCAAATGTCAAAATGGCTGATTTTTAGCTTCCTTTGGCTAGAAAAGATCAGTCCATGGACCCCTTCCTGGCATGCAATGTCAGGGCTTTCTGTACTGAAGCAATGAGAAGTCTTCAAATCCATTGACAGAACACTCCAGAAAGCATCTCTTTACTGAGGATGTACAGAAAGACAGTAAAAACCAAAGCATGTGTGTACAGATTGGGCTCAGAAATCCTTTTACAATCTAGAAGTCTAAGTGCTCATATTCTATGCACGAAGGTGTTCACCTGAATTATCTCCTAGTGGGCAATGGGCAGAACTGTTATGGGGAGGTCAGTGGGCACATGCTGAGGAGATGGGGACTTGCATTTGTGCCTGACCCTCAGCCATGCCCAAGAAAACTTGGACAGCACTGTTTTGGAATCACGAACTTTTCCTGATGATTTACTCTTCTGATGACAGTTCTGCTTACGGCTAATGCTGGGGAATTAGAGGCTTACATGAAGTGTATTCCAGGAGGATTTGTTTCCCTAATATTTTATTATGAAAATCTTTATGCTTATAGAACAGTTGAAAGCATTTTACAGTGGACACCCATATACCTACCACAAAAATTCCACCAGTAGCACTTACCATACTTGCTTTAGCATATGTCTATATCATTTATCCTTTTGGGTGCATTTCAAAGGAAGTTGCAGGTGTCAATACAAATACTTTATTATATGTATTATTAACTAGGATTCATGAGGATTAAGAAGGGGGCTCTGGGCTGGGTGTGGCGTCTCATGCCTGTAATCCCAGTACTTTGGGAGGCCAACGTGGGCGGATTATAAGATCAGGAGTTTGAGACCAGCCTGAGCAACATGGCGAAATCCTGTGTCTACTAAAAATAGAAAAAGTATCCTGGCGTGATGGTGTACACCTATAATCCCAGCTACTCAGGAGGCTGTGACAGGAGAACAGCTTGAACCCGGGAGGCGGAGGTTGCAGTGAGCTGAGATCATGCCACTGCACTCTAGCCTGGGTGACAGAGTGTGACTGACTGTCTCAAAAAAAAAAAAAAAAAAGGGCCCTCTGCAACAGAAACATGATTTTCTTTCTCAAACATTAATTCCACTGGGTCTAGGAATTCCCTGGGTGTCCCTTAAGGGAATCTATCCAGGACAAAACCATGCATTTCATCTCTTCCTAAAGAACTACCTACACATATATCAGGGAAGAAAAAAGGTGTTCTTTCTCCCCACTTCCCATACAATCTTGTCCATCAACATTATCCAGTGTGTTGGCAGGGCTCCCTAGAGTGCTTTGTCATGGCACCAGTAAATTCATAGGTAGAGAAGACACAATCCTAGTTCTGAAGATATTCTAAATAGCCCCTATTCTGATAGGGAATGACTTAATGAAGTTCTTGTGTGTATTTAGACCTGGCCCAATAAGAGACAATATATTCTTATTAGTGAGCTCATCCTCAAGAGATGGGAAGAGATGGTCGTAATGAGAGCAGATTGAGTCTGGATTGGCTCAGGTCCCACTGCAAAATAATTTTCCATTGTCATGGGCATTCGCCTAAGAGAATGTTAAAAAAAAAAAAAAGAAATTGGGATTGCTGTCAAGAGGGTAAGTAAATTTCCTTGTTTCATATTGTTAAACTTTTGGGAGGACTTAATTTGCCTTTTAACAATGGGGAAGATGGTGAATTACAGAGAGAAGTGAGCTTTGGAGAGTATCCTAAAAAAACCTGCAAAGACACTGAGAAAGCTGAGGGTTTGATGGAGTCCTTTGGATACATGTTAAAGGCTATTGCCAATGTTTCCAGAACTTTCACCCTGATCCACCATCAAATCCCCAAATGCAGGATATCCCAGAGCCATCAAATCAGGGCATGAATTCTAGATACCCTTCCCTTTCTCCTTATTGATTTCATTTCCCAAAACTATACAGGATACTTTTTTTTATGAAACTAATATGTGATACTACTCTTCCTTCCTTTAGCTCAAGGGTTGGCAAACTTTTCTTAAAGAGTTGGAGAATAAATATTTTAGATTTTGCAGACTATAAAGTCTTTGTCACAACTACTCAATGCAGCTGTTGTAGTGTGAACGCATAGACAATATATAATGGAATGGGCACGGCTGTGCTCAATAGAAATTTTAAGGACACTAAAATTTGAATTTCAAATGATTTTCACATGCTCTGAAATATTCTTCATATTTTGATTATTTTTCAATCAGTTCAAAATGTCAAAATCATTCTTAGTGCACGGACTGTGCAGAAAGAGGCGTTGGCCTGGATTTGATCCCTGCTCATTTAGCACTATTCAATAGAACCCTCTGTGATTGTGAATAAGTTGCATATTGGCACTGTCCAAGGCCATAGCCACTAGCTACATGAGAATACTGAGCACATGAAATGTGGTTAGTGTGACTGAGGAACTGAATTTTAAATTTTATTCAATTTTTCAATAATTTATATTTGAGTAGCCTCGTACGGCTAGTGTTCACCACCTTGGACAATACAGCTCCATAATTTTCTTTCCTATTAACTTGAAAAAATGGTCTTATATCTTGCCTACATTAAAATGGACCCCCAAATCCTTTCCTTTGCTGATTAAGGTATATAGCTATAACTCTGAGGAGATCACAGTTGATGTCTTGATTTTATATATTACATACAAACACAGGGAAACACACATAGCACTTGCAAATACCCATACTGCACACGTGCATGGGTGCATACAATCCTGATATAGCTCTTCACTGGAATTCCATCACCTCCAAATTCAGTGAACAAATAATCATGGGGGAAAATGCTTACCACTTAGTAAGGATAGTCCCCTTCTATTCAATGTCTACTATAAAAATGCAGTATTGGATAATGAAAACTATCATATAGGATAAGCTTAAACTTCTCCGGTAGCTTCCTTAGTTACTTTTTACAAAATCTGATGTCTCCTTTAGACAGCCTGCAACACTAATGAACTTGAAAAACTGACCTAAGAGATGTCATCTTTTGAAATCTGCAGTGATAATTTCCAAGTAAATGACAGTACATAAACTCTAGGTCATCTTAAATCAAATCTCAGCACTTCATGCTGAGCTCCCAGGTCAAGGCCAGAGAAGCTGACTAGTGAAACACAAAAGCATAAAATCACTACCACTGAAAGGGTTTTGGTAACAATCATTTGCCATACCTGTAAAGTCTTATTCACTATAAAATGATGCAATTATATTTTTCATCTTGATTAAACCTATTTATGGTGAAACTTCTATCATCATTGGCAAAGATTTAGGTTTAACTAAGGAAATTCTAGAGTGAGAGATGAATGACAGTTGTCTGTCATGGGTAACACAAAACAATAAAAAAAGAAGTTTAAGTTAATGGTGAGAAAATAAACATTTGCCCTTAAAATCCTAGTGCTGAATTTAGAATAATCCCAGGCCTGGTTGTTCACTGAAAGCTCTCCATGGCTCCATCTGAGGCTTTCTTTCCTTTGTCATGCTATA